TTTTTTTTTCAACCCTTTCTGTTTTCTGACTTTTTTCAGAAGGCGGTTCGAGCAGCAGAATCTCGATTTTGAATCAAAAAAAAGTTTTGTTGTAGTATTTGTTATCCGTTGTCCCAACAGAATGTTTAGCAAATTAGACAATATTGAGCAAATTTTTGGTGGGGAAAAATTATCTGAAGCATCGATGAATTAGAAAGATACTTTTACAGCAATCCTACGTCAAGAAACCCACTAGAACGGTAAAAACATGATAAAAAGGTGTAAACTGAAATAAAACTCTTCTGTCCATAAAAATTCTAACTGGATTACTGTGCAGATGTTTTGCACCGGGCTATTTAACCTGAATTAAGCCGTACTGCTATTGGGCATTGTCTGAGTTCGCGTTACGTGGAGGATTTGCCAATGAAAACAACTGATTTAGCACATATGTGGAGAGCAGGAGAGGGATATTTACTTCGCTGTTAGGTTTTCCGGCTATATCGTTAGCAATCCTTTCGGTTGTTTTGACCATTTCTGCATTACCTGATGATCAGCCAACTACCGATCCTGACTTTAAAATGGAGAAAATTGATGCATAATAATTTTCTACGCCAGGTCTTAATTTATGCATTCTAATTCACTGAAGTTGCAGCCGTGATAGTTTGCTTATTTAACAAGAGATTATATATTAGCTGGCGAAATACAAAAGGAAAGAACAAGAAGTACTTGTCAGATTCTGAAGTTCCGCTGAATTCGCTACTCGACTGGGAACGCCTCAAATACTCGGCATGCCGTGCTTCATCTCCGACCACATGATTCAAAAGACGAAGCAGATTCTCTCGACTTACCGACCCCAGAAGCATCATTGACTCTGAAAGAGCAGCAGCATTTCAATAAAATCCAGCAAAATTTTATAATCCAGCTGCATTATCCTTGGAGCTGCTATGACTTGTGGTGCATTAGCTGAACACCGGCCTACTGTTAATTCTGAGATTGGTTGAAGAATCTGGTCTAATTTTTCTTCCCCCTTTAGGATCAAGATAGTGAAAGAATAAAGTAAATTTTTACTAATTCTGTTAGTGGGAACGTTTAGGGATTTTCCTAAAGCGAAAATTTAAAAGATTGTTTCAAGCTACTGGAGCCCATAGAGTGCTAAAATTACTACAGATCACAGCTTTTTCCATTTTTCGATGTTGCATGGATAACTCTTAGGCATTGGGTCAAAGTTTGAAGTGTGCAAAAAGGAAGAAAAGCAAACAAGTTAAGCCTAGTGACGCATGAACGGGGGAATGTCTGTAAAATTACCTTTTCCTGAACTATCTAGGTATTTGTAGGAAGATGCATAAGCACGGAACTGGGCACGAATTGATAAAGACGCAGATTAATTACAGCATGTCTTGAATTTCTGCAAAAACGCAAAAGTTACCCGGATCGTCAACCACCGGATAAGCGCGCAGTTTGGGTGTAATGGATAACAGCTCCTGTAATTCGTAGTGTGTACTCCTCTTGCTCAGGAATTTCACATTGCGAACCATTATCTGCTCGACACGTATTTCATGCACTCTGTAAAATGTTGCTTTATTAATTTACATCTACAGTTAACATTTTATCTACAAATCTTCATATTATGCGGCACGTAGTGGGGGATTAGGAATTTGATGCAGAGTGAAGAACTTTGATTATCTGGACTACTGTGGAGTCTTGCATATTACTCTTTCGCAGCTGTAACCCAAACTATACCTAACTTCCTCTCTAACAACTACCTTTTCTGAAAAATCATCTCTAACTACGTGCATTTTCCTTTTAGAGATCAAACAAATGGTCATTTTTCATCCTTTTATTAGAACTTGCCGGTAAGTTGCCATTAAAGCCGAAAATAGAAAGGAAAATCATTTAAAATCAAATCAGCAAAGTGACGTAAGCAAACTTATGCACCGGGATGTGGATTTCGGAATATCTGGAAGATAGGGTAAATGTTTGATTTTGATGATACTATCGAAGAATGACGGCTGCAGTGATGAACAAACAATATTAGACAGTAGTACTGCTATCTGAAACATTTGTATTTAAAAACTTGACAAATTTAGATAGAAAATTGAGAATTCA